ACACAATCTAGTTCAAAGGCAAATAGGGACAGAATTCTCCAACTAAGTACCAGTGGAGAAATACATGAATTAATGAATTAAAATAGAGCAGGGTTTGTAACAGAAGCACGTCCAGGTATCGGTGAAAGTGGAATCTCAGGCAGGTCGGGATCATCAACCAGAATTTATGTTTGACAGTCTCTGCCACCTACGAGGACATAGGGACACCGGTCAAACCAATCTCTGCTGGTGACACATGTACTGGTCAGCTCTAAAGAGAGTCAACCGCACTGTGCAAGTGGGCCCTGTGGTGTCGAGGACTAGAGAGTCAGGGCTGGAGGTCAGAGGTGTGCAGTTCCGTGAGCACCGTCATCAGAAGCGCTTGGCGTGACTAGGAAATGATGCGCAGCAGTAAACTGTGGGGGAATAAACGGCAAAGTATGAATGTACCCCAGGAAAACAAATGTCCCCTTGGCATGCACCGTCCAGGCCCTGGGGACCCAACAGCGCACAGAGAGAGGGCACCAGCCAGACCCTCCACTGTGGTCCCTTGCCTTTCCTTTCTGTCTCTGTTTACAGCAGGAGCAGAAAGGGCCTCGTGGTCCAACGCATACAATTCTGTCTCCTGGAAGAGCTGTGTTATGGGCATCTTCTCTCTTGCTGTTTCATGTAGGTTGTCAGATAAAACTATCTGGAGTTGATACGGAACCTTAAGGTTTCTGCTGGCTGAGACAGCAGCCAGCTGGTTGCAACCTTTGCTGATTTCCATGGTGTAAATACCTGTCCTGTGGATTTCCAGTCATGGACATCAGTTGCTGAATGTGGGGTTAGGGAGAGGTTCTCAGCAGCAGACTGCTACATAGGACTTTTACTGTTACATACTGTTGAATCATACTGATTTGACACAGGTAAATAAGCCCAAGAACACAGAAATAGTCCAAGGTAGTAAGTAATGAAGAAGTGATAAGTTTTCAGTATTTGTTACTTTTGTTTGTAGTATTACTTATTTAATTGTAAGCTTACATAATGTACTCTTTAATAATGGTTGTATTTAGAGATTGGCTTGCAACATTCTTGAAACTGCAACCATGTGTCCAGGTCTCTGCCCCACTCCGGCCCCAGTGAGCTGTAAGTGAATTCTTCAATCTCTCTCCAGTTAGCTTATAAGTGAAGGACTAAAAAAATGATGAGCAAAAGGAAATGAGTTCATCGGTCTCCTTTTCTAGTGTAATAACACAGTTCTGTCATGATTCTTATTGCTTTGCATCTAAGGAAAATTCGATCTTTAGCTCAGATTGGGTGAATTGAATGGTTGTCAAGGTCAATACTAGCAGGCTAAACATTTACATCCATTTTTTCGAGTGTAATTCTCAGCAGGGGTGGACTCTGCTCCCACAGTGGCCGATTTCCTTCCATTCTACCCATTTTATGAGCAAAGCCCTTTGGTCCCCACCCCCTTCCTGTTCCCTGGCCGTGGTCCCCTCTTCCGGGGCTGCAGGAGCAGCTGTGTGGCCGGCTCTCTCGCAGGGGACAGAAAGTGGCCAGTAAACACAAGGTGAGGGCCAGAGCATGTCCCTGGGCTGGCCCCTGATGTCCGCACGCCAGCAGGGTATCAAGGGGACTTCCACGACAAACAGGACTCTCGGAATCACACTGCCTCGCAGATTTGGGCTTGGCTACTTTGTTTTGAAACAGGCGACCTGTTTGATTTTGATTTAAATTTCAGAGCATGACGTTAGGTGACTTGAAAGCAGACAGGTCCCTGTATAAGGGCATCAGCCAAATTCCTGTTGTGTCTTCTCCAGCTTCATGCTGTCTGCTCAAGCAAGTTCACGGCCGCTCCCCGGGCTCCGCCAAGCTCCGCCCGTGGTGCTCCTGCACTCTCAGTCCTGCTGGGCCACGCTGCCCGTCTTGTGAGTGATTATTATGGATTTTACATCGGGCAAACTCAAATTACTGTCTTCTAATTGAAAATGCATGGTTTGATTCTCTGATTTTATTTCCTTGTTTTAGAATTGCTTTAAAGTTCTGTCGGATGAGAGGCCTGTTCACAACTTGAAAACCAATGGGCTAGAGGCATCATGGCAGCTCTTGAACTCCACGTGTCCCTCAGAACAGGAGACGGCGACCCCCTTTTCCCTTTAAAATCATCTGCCAATTACCCTGGACATGTATATCGAGGGAGAGGCTGATCTGCTTAAGGCTGGCGGAGGACAACATGTAAGAAAATGACTCTCAGGAGACAGTTCAATGGAAAAATAAAAGGCAAAGTGAGGAACTGGAACCTGAGCTCTCTGTGCGCCGTTTTGCGTCCCCAGGGTCTTGTCATCGGAACAAGTCATCGAGGAACGGTGAGCAGCCTCGTCATAACCAGTCCTGCAAATCTCCAAAACAAATAACTCACAGCAATTAGTGGGGCAGACTCCACCCACGTCATTGCACAGCGAAGGTTCAACCGGCATCGCATGCGAGCAGAAAGCAGGCTCGTTAGAAAGTCGTGAGAGAAAAACATCCGTATGCAGTTATGCTAGTTTAGACACGTGCCTGAAGCACCCGTGTGCACGGCTGCACGGCTGAAGTTAATGGGAAGCTTATTAATAAGAGGGAAGGATTACGGAACACAGAGCAGAAAACCACTATTCTGCTTGACCACAATTATGTTCACACACGTCGCCAAAGGCCCATGTGCCATGACCGCTGAGCCACAGCCTGGAGCCGTCCACAGCGTGGCCACAGCCCCCTCCCACACGTGCCTCATGCAGTATTTACCGGCTCCGACTCCACCCACCGGCTGGCCTGGCCGTGGCCGCCAGGAAGAAGCTGGCACCACAGAGCAGCCCAGAGGAGCCTCCATTCTGTACCAGGTGATGGTGGACACAGCTTTCCACCTGCCCAGAGCTGACACTGAACAGCTACATTTTGTCTACTGTAGGTCCACTTGGCAAGAGATACTATTATGCTTCATCTAGCAGGCAGTACTCAATGAGATATGGGGTTCCAGAGAGTTGTAGGTCAGGCATACGACTTTGCCAGCCCTATTCTGCTCTCCTCTTAGCTGCACAGGTTATCAAGAAACCAGACCCTCTAGTCGCTAGGCACTAAGTGGGCACCGCATACTGTCAGGGGCATTTCCGGCAGCTCCTCGGAGATGCACGGTAGGAAAAGCTAGGCCCGGGCAGAAGCCAGGCCTGCATTAAAACTGACCTTTGAGGACCATGGTTGCTTGGCTGTTTCTGACTCTCAGAGGCATGGCCACACTGTCTTTGAGTCACGTACTCAATCGTCACCACTGACACCTCTTGATACTACTACTTTTCACAGGTCTGACATGCTCCAGGCTGAAACCAAGTTGGGGGCTGCAGGCCTGGTATGAGGATCCCTGCCAGCTGCCTACCAGCTGTGAGTTCCCACATTTCCAAGGAACTGAGCTCCAGTGTCAACCAGCACAGTGACATCCGTCAACACACCTGGGAAAAGCTGACCGGACCCTAGGCTGTCGGGCTGGGCCTGAATTATCCACGGTGATTTGTCCTTTCCAGGAACTGGGACCATACAATGCCCAGCCACAGGCAGTGAGGCATGACAGACACTGCAGGTGGAGGCTTCTGGGAAAGGTTCCCTTTTTCTACGGAACTATCAGAAGAGATGGTCTCTCTTCTCCCCCTGAAAATTCAGCCGCAGCCTGAGGAGGTCAGCCACCAAGATGACACAGAGAGGAGACGGAACCTCAACCCTTGATCACAACTGCAGGCTTCAGAAGAAAGTGACATGCCAGGAACCCGCTCTGTGGGTGGCAGCAGCCACCCCAAGCAAGGCCACGGGAAGCTGGTGGCCGTGAGCTGAAACCCACCGCCTCAGACGCGAGACATTCCCAGTGGTCTGAGCCTGGGCTGTTGCCTCAGCCTCGTGCGTCTCATCCTGAGTTCCTGACGCCCTAGAAAAACTTGTTTGCATTTGGAAGCACATCCAATGTCCAGATGATCAAACGTATTTCAAGGCTGGAACGCAGTGTTTGTGAAGAAAGATGAAACAAATCAGGATTATTTTGCCTGGAAAAAATAACTCGGCAATGACCTTCTTTACCCAGAAGCGGGCAGTGAGCAGGTTTGCATTTCCCAAGAGGATAGAAAATGCTACAACAGCCCAGTGCTGGAAAAAATGAACTTTCTGGCACTTGTGTGGGCAGTGGCTCCTCCCAGGATGGAGCACAGAGTGACATGTTATATTTGGAAAACACAGCCCAGGGCACGCCTGCTTTGGGAAGGGGCCACCCTGATGGAGACGTGCACAAGTGTGGCAGTCAGGTGATGTCAGATGAAGACACGGATGTAATTAAATACATAAAACGTGCCCCATCGGGAGGCGGGGATGCTACATGTAGTGCTTATCAGCATCCAAAAGAAGGCTTGGGAAATGGCGTGAGCCTGATCTCACACCGCACGGGACAAGATGGAAACAAGAGGAGCCTTTCACACTGGCTAGGGCTGCACTCACACCCAGCAGCTCCTCCTTCTGGTGCCTCAGTCTCCCTTTCTGCAGAGTGACGGGACTAGTGCTGGCCCCCTGGCCACATGGCCCAGGTTCTGGCTCCCTGGTCCTCCAAGCTCCTGGGCACAGCCCCGCTTTGCAGTCATCGTTTCCCTGAGTGAGCTCATGGCCAAGTCTACTCGCTGCTGTGCTGGGCGGAGCTGTTGCTACCTGCAGACATTCCAAGGACAGTTCCACCTAATGTTCTCTGGAACATTGGCCTCCAGCTGCTGTCTCCACCCACCAGGTGCAACTTTGGCTGAAGTCTAACCACAGTTGGAATGACTAAGGGGTTAAATCCCTTTCTACGGGCCCCCGAATGGCACTCACTGGTGACCAGGACACATTGCTCTGAGCATTTGGAAGGAGAAGCTGGAGAGGAGAGGCACAGACACCCCGGGCGAGAATGGGAAGTCTGGAAACCCAGCCCCAACACCAGGGACCAGAGAGGTGAGCAGTCAACACACACGGACAAGAAGACGAGAGGCACATACGTGTGGGTCTCAGCTCGCAGGCCTCGGGAGCAGCGCCTTCCCCAGGAAAGCCGAGAGGCTCTGCCACGTCTGTGTCGGGAGGAGGATAGGATGGGGGTGGGGGGAGCACTAACTGGGGGGGTCCCCGAGCAGAGCCTCTGGGAGGCTTTTGTGGCACCTGCCGTCCAACACCTAATGGAATCAATAAGGGTTACTGCAGCAGGTTAAGGCCAGAGGTTCCTGCCCCCGACAGAAGGCACATTGCCATCACTGCCCCTCACCAAATCCAACCACCCCCACTACCAAATCCAGCCACACCCCGTGCCAATTCCAACCACACCCACTACCAAATCCAACCTCACCATGCACCAAATCCATCCACACCCTGTACCAAATCCACCCACACCCTGCAGAAAATCCAACTTCCCTACCAAATCCAAACACACATGGCTCCAAATTCAACCACATCTGACACCAAGTTTAACCACACCACGTACAAAATCCCTCCTCACCAGCCCCAAACCCGAACCTGCCTGGCAGCAAATCAACATTTTACATACATGGTGTATGATCCTCTGGCCCTTTTGGAAACACCTTTTCAGTTGCAATTTATTTCTGGCAGGCCCAACTATTTTCAAATGCTCTCAACTATTCTTCAAGGTGCCCTAACAGTCTCATCAAGTTAAAAGGAACCCGTTTTACTCCTGTTGGTCTGTCCCGGGTTCACAGACTTGCTTTTTATCTTACTGTGTTGCCTTTCAGTACCCCTCCATGCTATGATGGAGTGACCACTAACTTAGCTCACCTCTCGAAGCCTTGCCACACTGACAAGCTGCTCCCCTGTTTAGGGCAATTGTATTCTAGAAGAGTTGGTGAGTTTATACACCAGGGGTCCCTTCAAAATTCTACATAAAAATAAGGCTTTCTTCTGTTAATACAATTTTTGAAAGTCAGTGACTTCACGGGGTGACCTCAGGCTTTCGCCTCCTCCGCCCTCACATGTAAAGGTTTTGCACCAGAAGGCGGGCTCTGCAGTGAGTTACCACCAGCCACACCTCCGCTTTGTGACGTGTTCCTGAGTGAGGGAATTCTCCATCCAGTTTTCTGCCTTCAAACACCCACCCTGCTTCATGCCCCACCCCGGCCTGGCTCTCCCAGCACGCTGGACACCAGGCCTCGGCCTCGGGTTTGAGTCAGGAGGTCTCACATGTGCAGACCTGGGCCGTGCGGCCGAGGACCGGCCTGACTCAGTTGCGTCCCCACCGCCGATTAAAGTGGACGCTTCTTAGAATTTCTACAAGGAATGCTAAATCCGTGGGTCGTTGCCCCTTCATGAAAAGACGGGGAGAGGTGGGCTCGGAAGGGAGGGTGGGGTCTCGTCATGAAAAAGGAAGAAACGAGGCTTATTTTAATGAGCTACTGAGCATGTTTTCTTTAAACCTGAGCCTATTTCCCTTTGGAAAGAGGGTGCATGGACATGAAATACTGGCTATTGTCTCTTAGGATCATTGATTCCCAGGCCGTGAAACTTCCTGATATTAGCAGTGAGGGGCTGACGAGGGAGAAACGCTGGCAGCAGCCAAGGAGCTGCCACTGCGGCTTCACACACTGACAGAGACCACTTGTCCCAGGAGGGGCTGCAGCCATGAAGTGGAAGGCAGAATGTGGGGTAACAGGTGGATGAAAGGGCATCAGAGTGGCCACCTGGCCACTTCCGCGACGGGCTCTGGTGCGCCTGCAGCTGTGGGGGTTGTCTCAGGTACCCCTGTCCTTGAAGAACTGCTTCTGCCCTGCGTCAGTGAGAGAACCACCGCTGGGTGGTGTTAGAGTAAATTAACTGTACCTGCAGGTGGAGACATCTGTCCCTTCTCTCCGCTTCCCTATCACATGGGGGCGGATTTTAGGCCTCTGCTCAGAGACATCACTATTCTATCCTCTTTCCTCTGGATTCTGCTTTGTTTTTTTCTCCTCAAATATCGGGGCTTTTGTGACACAGGTGAAAGGTATGTAAGTAGAGATCAGCTTCAAACGAAGGGGTCAAAACTGACCCAACTGCGGTCAACCAAAATCTGATTTCAAAGCACCATGCACACACGTCACTAGGAGCGCATCTCCCTCCCTCCGAGGCGCAGGCCACACACCCCCAGTCACACCATCCACGCCTGCCCTCCCCAGCCTCTTCCGAGGTCCTCCACTCCCTGCCCCACCCCCTGCCTCCTGCCCGCCTGTGAGACTGTGTGAGCGCCCAAGGCCATTTATGTCCACGAATCCCCTCGTTAGTGTTAGTACTCTCCATGTTAATGCCAGGCCAGCGGCGGCCACACAGTTAGTGGCAGGGTCGCAGCAGAGCCGCCCGGGGCGGGCAGGCCGCAGGCCACTCACTCACCCGTTGCACCCTTCCGGTTCTCCTCGCGGTCCTCGGTGCGCGGGGGCACCAGGGGGCTGGGTGGGGGGGGTGCTGGTGCCCTCCTCTTCTTCTTCTGCAGGTCCATCTGTGACCCCAGCGACATCTGCGGAATGCAAAGGAATGGCCATGTCAGGGCCCCTGCTGGGGGGGTGTTGCCTGTGGCACCCCGAGCGTGGAGATGCCAGCTCAGGGGACACAGTGCTTTCAGGAGGGCTGTCCCTCCTAAGTTCTGGGGCCCAGGTGGACAGGGCAGGCTTGCTGTGTCACTCTGGGGTGGCCCCAAGGTGACCAGGGAAGCTCAGAGACACCCTCCAGGACCGGCACGAAGCAGGCAATGTGGTAACACCTCAGAGCGATGGTGAGAAAGGGATTCTTTGCTCTGAATGAAACGTGAAGAAAAACTGCTTTTTCTGGAAGCTGTATAGAGAGCTGCCATGACCGAGCCCACGCAGAGGAAGAACAAAACCATACGCACAGTTTTGAAGGTTTGGAAAATTACATCTATAAGCAAAAGGGAGGGGAAAAAACCCTCATTAACACTCAGTTTAACTACTAACACTTGGCATAGATTTTTCTGGTCTTTATTTTTTTTAAATCGTATTTTTTTCTTCCTTCTATACTCTATTATTACCTATGCAAAACAAACAAACAAACAAACAAACACTAATTACACATCATTGTATAAATTACACAAAAAAAGCCCCCAGCATTTTATGTAAAACACAGACACAAGAAAACGCCAAATAGTTCCACAAAGCTCAGCGTTTCACCAGCAGCTTCTGGTCCACGGACCCCACTGCAGCCCCAACCGCCTCAAATGCCTGTTTCTTTAAAATGTACTCTATTTTCATAAATAGTAAGCTTATTTCTTTACTTTTTCCATATTAGATATTGGCTTTCTAGTACACACAAGGGTTTAGTTCTTACACACACACACACACACACACACACACACATACACACACACACACACACACACACACACACACACACTTTTCAATCCAGTTCCCCAATCTTTTAAAAAACCACAGCACGAGATTTCAATCCCGTTTAGTTACACATACAGCTTCCGCAGAGACCACAATGATGCAAACCAAGTTTTATGCAGGGGGAGTTTCCCCCAGCTGAGATATGCGATGTGTATGTTGCCCGCATTTCTTTCTAGGCTATTTTTTGTTTTCTCTGAACTTGATGGCTGAGTTGTTTTCTCACTGAGTTTCCTAGAATTTCCTTTCCCCCCCACGCAGTTGTTTTTTTTTTTACCACTCGCTTCTTGAATCTTCCGCCTTTTTAAGAAGTGGCACCTTAATTTTCCTGGAGCTCGACCTCGCCCAGCTTTCTGAGACCCGATGTGTGTGAGGTAAAGTTAAGAGGCCTTGAAAATCTAGAGGTGTTGTAACAGGGCGCAGTCAAAAGGGGGGCCCCTGAAAAGGACTTAGGATGGGGTCCAGAGCTCTGGGTGTCCAGGAAATACTAAGATGCCCCCCCCCCCCAGGGACAAATAGAGCAGGGCCATTGAGAGCTGTTTTGCATAGCAACAGTTTTGCAGCTAACCTCTGGCATGGTCATTTAACATATCTATAACCTTTAACTGGTTTCATAGATATGTTAAGTAGCTGTGGCCAAGCTTTGAGCCAGGGAGAAGGGAGTGGCTTCTACCCAAGATGTAACTGGGGGCTGGTCCTGAGTTACAGCGCCTGGGTGAGAGCTTGGAATGGATTGGTTCCACGCCATAGGGCCACATCTGCCCAGACTAATGATGGCAGCCCAATGATCTCAGCCCAGTAAAGCTGGTAGGATACTGGAGTCCTGGCAGGTGTAACTGATTGTAGGAGGAGTCGGAAATGGGGCTGCAAAGGAGGATGGGTGCAGAGATTTAAACCCAGACACGGCAGCCATTGAAAGGAAACCATGTGGTTTTGGTGAGAGGGCACACTCCTGCAGCCAGATGAAAGGGAGAGCCACGCGTTTTCAGCAAAGTAAGGGTCCCCTCTTGTCCAGGTGAGGGGAGAACCCTGCGGTTTTGGGGAGAGGGCATACCCCTGCAGCCAGGTGAAAAAGAGAGCCACACGGTTTCAGCAAAGTAAAGGACCCCCTCTTGGTGAGGTGAAAGAGGGAGCCACGCGGTTTTGGCAGAGTGCAGACCCCCTCTTTCCCAGGTGAAAGAGAAAACCACGAAGCTTTGCCAGAATGGAGATCCCTGCAGCCAGGTGAAGAAGAAAGCCACATACTTTTGGTGGAGTGCAGACCCCTGAAGCTTTCGTAGAAGAGGCCCACTCGGCTTTGGGGTGCCCCCTTTGGCTGCATGGCCTGGAAAACAGGAGAGACTTTGACTGGAACTGGGTACAAAGAACTCTTGCCAGTGGACCGTGAGAGGATTCCACAGTACTTTGGATTAACTAGAGAGAGAGATCCTATCCGCACGGTGACACAGCTCATGGTGCCAGCGGCCTGAAACACAGATGTGTGTTCCTTTCCTGATTTACGGTACCCGGAGTTGGGACAGTGGGAGAAGTGAGACTGTATGGGTGTAGGTGTATATCCTAAAAGACTTTGATATTTTAATGGAGGCATTAAGCCTAAATAGCATTAAATAAACATTTCATTTCCTTTTCACAAATCTCTGACATAGAGATGTCTTTCCAATTGGCGGCAGACAGAAGAGCCCAGTAGATAATAGTATTCTGTCCTTGGGAAGGGCCCCTGTTCTGTAGCAGTTTTTGGCATCCCTAGGTGGGCCAAATATTGCCCCCCCCTTGGACCTCTTGTTCGGTAACAGTGTTTCTATTCTACCGCCCTGAGCAGTCAGCATAATTGAGTATGGGATCTAGGCTGTTAATTAGTGCCTCTCAAATGCTGACCCACTGGCTCTGAGCTGGAAACTGCGCCAGGCGCACCGGGGCCTCCCACAGGACCTGCTTTCTTCCACCCTTGGGGGGAAGCTGTCCCTAATGGAGCCCTGAAACCTGGCCACGGCATGTCCCTGGTGGAGTCCTCCCCTGCTGTCTGCGCACCTGCGACCCCAGACAGCTGCGTGCCCCTCCGTTCTGCAGAACGTTCTGGTGTCACGCCTTTTGGAGTCTCCTTCCTTCTGCTCTCCCTCGGGGATCTGATGACGTGAACCACTGAAGGTTCTTCATCAGTTTTCTAACTTTTCTGGGATATTCTTGCCTAATTCAAAAATGCTCCTTTCTTTCTTAGAAATTTCCTTTACTTCATTTACCAACTTCTGTGAATTTACGAAATCCTGTAATTGCACTTTCATTTTACAAAAGTCCCTTTTTTGTTCTGTAGTTTTAAATATCAATAGTATTGTTCTCCTGGACACAATACCTTCCCTTTCTCTCGGAGGCTGTCAGGTACCTCTTTTGAAATGTTTTTTTTTATTTCATTTCCTCCTATTTTATGCCCTGTCTTTTACTCCAAGTCCCTGCCTCCACCTTTGTCTTCGCCTCTGTGGGTTACTCTGTGACCTTTCCTCCCTGGCTGACTGCTCGTCAACGCGTTTCTGTGGACGGGTCAGCCGGCTCGGCTGGAGCCTGCGGGTGCCTGACAGGAGCCTGGCTAGCTCACTGGGGATCCCCAAGTAGCCAAGGATGGCCTCTTCCATACCAGGAGCCTCTCAGGAACCTCCCTGCCTGAAGGGGTGGCTTTCGGAGCAGGGCTGGGTCTCGGTCAGCACGTGGAATGCAATTCCCTGTTTTTGGTGCACTCAGAGCGTCTGGGCCCTGGCATCGGAGTTTCTAGTTCGTTCACGTCCACAGTTGCAGGGCCAACCCCTGGCTGAGAGTGACGAGCTGCGTCTGCAGGTCTCCCTGCCCCACACTCAAGTCTCGGTCCTTTGTCAGCGCTCCTCATGCTTCCACCTCCTGCTCCTGTGCGGTCCAAGGCCAGGTCTCTTGTAGTGGGCCCTCCACACCTGCAGTCAGCTCTCAGCCTCTGTCCATCTCGGTCCAAAGTCTCTGCCGGGCAGGGCTGTGACTCCTTCTCCCTCCTCCGTGTGGTGCACTAATCCTTGTTTATTCATCTCAGTGGGGGAGGCAGGCCAGCCCACATCTTAGCAGCTGCCTGGTCCACCCTGCGCTGCATGAGCCTTCATTCCATCAGCCCCTCGGACTTTGGTGGAACATTGAGGTGCTTTGGTTTTGGTTAAACTCTCAGAACACCCTTGTGATTGTACCTGTCCCACCTGTCTTTTTTCCCTTTGCTTTCTCTTTTCTCTCCTTCCTTCCTTCCTTCCTTCCTTCCTTCCTTCCTTCCTTCCTTCCTTCCTTCCTTCCTTCCTTCCTCCCTCCCTCCCTCCCTCCCTCCCTCCCTCCCTCCCTTTGGAGTTTTCAATAAATCCCTTTGATGAAGCTTCAGAGGTAAAGAACAGTAACCCTGAGACACATCAGGGTCTAAAACTGCTTCTCCGATTTAAGAATCCCTGCTCTGTGGTTGGTTCACAATGAGTTTGTGACGAAGCCCCCAGGACTTTGGCAGATGAGTGCACACCCGGCCGGTCTGTTTTTCTGTTAATCTGCCTGCACTCCTTGGGCCCACGTTCTCACTCAGGTCTGGGCTCTCGGGTATGATGCTGGCTCTACCACCTGCACTGCTGTGATCCTCTCTGTGTTACAGGCAGATTGTGACAAGTTGAAGGGCATACAGCCTCAGCTCCAGCAGCGGGGTTGAGATCAATCCATTGATCCATCACCACTGTTCAAACGCTGAGGATTTGCCCACCTGCATTACTTTCTGGCCCACACTTCTCAGTCTCTTCTTAAAAGTTGGCAACACATGGTTGAATGTCATGTGCAACCTTGATCCTTCAGTTCCTCGACAAGTGGCTGTGTCCTTGTTCTATGCCAGGAATTGTAGTGGGTTCAAAGGCACACCAGTTCCTGACCTCGTATGTTCACGGTCTAAGGAGAGAGAACTCTACAACGTGTATGTGATCTTCCAGGCTGGCGACATGGCCAAAGCTGTCCTCTGGGGCTCAGATGGGGGGACACGGTCTCTTCCATGAATTCATGCTGGTTGACCAGGCCCTTGGCAGCTCCTGGGGGAGTCTGGGTAATGAGGGCAGGCTCCAGAACTCTGCCTGCGGTTGACATCCCGTCG